CCCCCCGTATTTTACTTCTTGGTTTGCTGGCTTGTTTCTAAATGTTTTTCCCCTCTTCTTCTTGTTTTGTTTTTCTTAATTTTTTGGGGGTCCCCTTTTAGTTAGATTGGTTTAGGCTTTCTTTTTACGCATGCAGTTTCTTACTAACTCCAGAGCCCATGCTGCCCACGTGGCAGAGGTGGACTTCAGGTTTTCAGAGGCAGCCTCCTACCACAATTTTCTAGGAAGTGGATTCTGCCTTCCAGCTGGGTTTATGGACTCATTTGAGGCCAATAATCTATCCTCGTGGTTCCGTGTCATCAGGGATTTTACTGGCCACCGGTCCTACCTGGAAACATCAAAGGAGATTTTCCATGATGGCTCTGAAGACCCTCGGCTTGGGGAAGAGCATTCTGGAGTATCAGATCCAAGAAGAGGCAGAATATTTGGTGGAGGAGTTTAGGAAAAGTGAAGGTACTACGAAGTTGAAATCTTTATTTTCTTGCCAGAAGCCTGTTTTTTGTTTTGGTTTTAATTTCACAAAATTTAAACGCTAAGGCAAAAAAGACATTTCTAACAGGGGTGTCTGCAAAGGAAGGCAAAGGGTCAAAAAGGTCAAGATGGTGGCTGTGCCCACACGATCGGAGCTCTGGCCCTTTTTACATATCTTGTGCAAGGAAATATGTAAAAGGGGTGGGGCTTTGACTGCACAGCTGTGGCTTCCATCTTGACTGTTTTGAACCTCTGCAGTCACCCCAGCAAGAAGAACTTTTAAAAAAACTTCATGAAGCATTTTCATTATATGCCTATTTAAATTCATTTGTGACCTATATGCCCCATCTGATCATCTACAGGTTACCCAATGCAATTTATCTTCCTGCAGAAAGTGTGTCCAAGCCTATTTTATCTCATTACTGTGTGGCTGGGTTCATTCCATATGACTAACCTGGTTTCTAAATTAACTCCTCTTTCTGGATTAGTACAATGCCTGTGCTTAGTTTAGTATGACCTAAATTAAGCAAATGGTTGACTTCACACAATACAGTA